AGAGAGCTATGCAGACCAGACCAGCCGGTTATTCACTCACAAGGATGCTGCCGCTAAGAGAATGGAGCTCACAGTAACCCGGCAACCTTCAAGAGGATGCCAGAGCTCCTATGCTTTTCCTTCTCAAACCAGAGGTGGCAGCAGAGAGTAAAGAATCCTCACATGAAGCTTCACCTTTCTCCCACACTAGGAGGTCTGAGGGACAATAGCTGTCATTGGAGCTCTTGCCCAATGAAATCCGTTCTCTCTGACCAATCAGGAATCTCTCAGCTGAAGCCTTCTTTCATCTGACTGCTTCTAACCCCACCGCCCCTACTTCTCCCCATCTCTCATTTCTGCTGCTGTTGCTGTCACCTCTCGCCATTCTCTTGCTCTTCCCTCACTATAGTAGTTAAAGGGCAGTGGCTTAAATGAAAACCCCCAACTCTTAGTGACACCTTTTACTTAAGTCATAGCTTCTCAGATTTCTCCTCTCAAACCTATGGTTCTTTCTCAATCATGCCTCTGCTTCCAGATGTTTTTATGAGATCTCCTTTTCTAAGTTTTAGTCATAAAGTAGTTCTCTGCAAAGTGGCCAACATGCCATCATGCTTTGCAGCTCACTGAAATGGTCTGCACAGTCGTCTCTCTCAGAGCTCGTGAGACTGTTTCTTTACATTCACATTTCTCCGGTTTGTAAGAAGTAGAAGATCTGTCTGCCTGTTTCTAACATTAAACTGTTCCCACACACAAAAAAGGCATCCTGCCACATTGTTAACAGAGGTCCAGATCCCCCAATCTACCTCACAGATAACTTTCTCTCCCAGTGTCCAAAATCCCATCTAAAGGCAATTTCTTCCTAAACATATTTAATGGTTTATATCAAAACAAAATTCTTTTTCTGTTCACTATTCAATATAAGATGTCTCTCCATAACAAGGGCAGCATTCCACTCTCTGACAATTAATGTATTCCTTTATACAAAACTCCTTTTTGTGCCTTTCCCATGATTAACTGCTTCTTATGAAAAGAGCACTGAAGAAAAGAAACAGTGTACCTTACTGTGAGGTATCTGTCCCTCTACTAAAGTTCTTCCGTGCCTCACCACAGCTCAGAGGTGATCCTGGGCTCTCCAGGCTGTCAGCAGAGGCAGGAAAGGGCTTGGACAAAGCCTGTCTTCCAAATCAGTCTATCTCCTAAGCATGTGCAAAGGCTTATCCCACAAGGTTGACGAGGAGAGGTTGAATTGTTTCATCCATGGCTGCTTATGAAAACTATTTCCTGAGGGGAAAAGGAGATGAATCAGTCTATACATGGGACTCTTAATGAAATCAATAAATCAATCAGCAAGCATTTATTAAATGCCTACTACGGCCTAAGCACTATTCTAGGCACTGTGGATATGAAGTAAAAAATAAGTAAGAACCTGTTCTCATGGAGCTTACATTCTATTGGGGAAGACAGTATGTACACATAAAAGTGATATACTGAATGTAGCGACAAATAAAATAATAAAGTACAAATAACAACAAAAGATGTACAATAATACAAGAGAAACAAAATACATAAACAAAACAGCATACAAACAAAATAACAAAAAATAAAATTCAAAACAACAATATAAAGACAAAGTAAGTTAGGTGGGGGAGGGAGAATCAGGAAAATGTAGAAAGTGGCACATGAGCTTAGTTTGAAAGGAGACCAGGAATCCCAAGAGATGGAGATGAGAAGGGAGAGCAATGCAGGCCAGGGCAAAGGAAGGGAGACAGGATGAGTATCTCATCTAAGGACCTGCAAGAAGGCTGATTTGTTTGGATCATAGAGTGAATGAAGGAAAGCAACATGAAATAAAGCTGAGAAAGCAGGCTGGAGCTAGCTTGCTCAGGGCTTTAAATGCCAAACATTGGAGTTTGTGTTGACAGTTGTTTGGAAGGTGAATGGGACAGACAATGAATTAATTGACTTGAAGCAGGGAGATCATTTAGAAGACTTTTGTAGCAGTTCCTACAAGAGACAGTCAATAAGCATTTATTAAGCACCTACTATGTGCCAGGTGCTGTGCTAAGAGTGGTGGGTGCAAAGAAAGGCAAAAGATAGTCCCTGCTCTCGAGGAGCTCACACTCTAATGAGAAACAACAAACAAATTATGGACAGACACGCTCTATATGGGATAAACAGAAAATAATCAGCAGTGAAGGCACTAGAATTACGAGGGATTGGGAAAGGCTTCCTGGAGAAGGCGAGACTTAAGCTGGGACTTGAAGGGAAGCCAGGAAAGCCAGGAGGCAGAGGTGAAGAGTGAGAGCGTTCCAGCGATAGGGGGCAGTCAGGGAAAATGCCTGAAGCCAAGAGATGGAGTATCTTGTTTGAGGAACAGCCGAGAGGCCAATGTGCCCAATGTGGGGGGGTGAGGTAGGGGTATAAGGCAGAAGAAAACTGTAAAGAAAGGAGGGAACTGAGTATGGAGAGCTTTGGAAGTCAAATGGGATTTTGGATTTGATCCTGGAAATGATAGGGATCCACTGATGTGTGCATGCGTGTGTGTGTGTGTGTGTGTGTGTGTGTGTGTGTGTGTGTGTGACAGAGACAGAGACAGAGAAAGACTCAGAGACAGACAGAGAGAGGGGAGAGACAGAGAGACATAGTCAGACCTACACTTTAGGAAATCCCTTTAGTGGCTGAATGGAGGGTGGACTGCAGCTGGGGGACCTGGAGGGAGCAGCTATTGTGGTCCTGCAGGCAGGAAGTGATGAGTAGGTGGGGGGTGGGAGCAGTGTCAGAGGAGGTGTATTGCAAAGATGTTGCAGAGGTGAAATCTACAGGTCTTGGTAAAAACTTGGACATGGATGATGAGAAAGGGAGAAGTCAAGGAGCAAAGGACCTGAAATAAGGTGGCTGGTGATCTTGTGAGTAGAGAGAAGGGAATGGGTGTGAAAGATCATGGATCCTGGAGCTGCTGAAGCTCAGTTTAATCTGCATACCAATGCTCAGTGGTCATACAGCACTCACCTCCCCTTCCTGGGACTCACTCTCTCATCTCTGCCTCAAGTCTCAGCTAAAACCCCACCTTCAGCAAGGAGTCTTTCCTGATCCCGCTTAATGCTAGTGCCTCTTCTCTGTTGGTTGTTTCCTGCTGTTCCTGTCTATAACTTGTCTGTACATATTTTCATGTTATTTCTTCTACTAGACTGTAAGCTCCTTGAGGTCAGGGGCTATTTCATGCATTCTTATCCCCTGTACATAACACATAGTAGGTGCTCATACATCGTTGTCAAATTGAATATCAGTATCTCTACTAGGATGTGTTGAAAACATGGAATGCCCCATGCCAAAGGCATCAATTTCAGATGCATGGCAGGAAGGAAGGTTGGAGTTATATGGGAAGAAGAGGGGGAGAGTTCTAAGAGGTGACCTTTCCAGCCTTCCTTCATCCATACCATGTGTGTCCTTTGATCTCACCCAACACTCTGTTCCTCTCTCTGAGCCTCAGTTTCCTTTTCTGTAAAGTGGGGTTACCAGCAGTGTGTAATAGTCACGAGAAGGGCCAGTCTTGAAATCAGGAAGGTCTAATTTCATGTCTTGCCTCTATGTGTGTGACCAAAGTTTCTTCACTAGGAGTCCCCTAAGTGGTTGAGATCCTGGTTCCAGACCAAAAAACAAAAATAAAAAAAAAATACCTCCTTGTTCCATCCTGTCCTGGATAAACAAACTTCTCTCAGCCTCAGTTTGGTCATCTATAAAATGGGGATGACAATAGCACCCACTTCCCAAGGTTGTTGTGAGGATCCAATGGGATGTTTGTAAAGTGCTTTGCAAACCTGGATGTGCTATGTAGATGCTACCTATTGTGATCCTGGGAAGCAGGGAAGTTCAGTAGAGAGCTGACCTGTGAGCGGGGAAGACCTGGGGTCAAGTCCTAGCTCTAACACATCCCAGCTGTGTGACCCTAGGCGAGTCATCTAACCTCAGTGCTCCAAGCTACTCTCTAAGACTCTTAAGTTGCAGTGAGGGTGCTGACCTGCATTGTTACAGGGGTTTCCTCCTTTGGGAGTCTCTCTTTACCAATGAAATAAGAGGTTCAATTCCTCTCCCTGTTATTGTTGGGAGAATCAAATGAGATAATGCCTGTAAAATGCTTTCTAAACTTTAAAGTGGTATGCATACACACACATACATACCTATATACATGTTTGCACATTTATGTGTGTCTACAGGGTGCCCCCAAGTGCACTTTATTTTTTAAATTTTTTTTTATTTTTGGGCAATTGGGGTTGAGTGACTTGCCCAGGGTCACACAGCTAGTAAGTGTCAAGTGTTTGGTCTGAGGCCAGATTTGAACTCAGGTCCTCCTGACTGCAAGGCCGGTGCTCTATCCATTGAGCCACCTAGCTGCCCCGATTAGTGCACTTTAAAGTTTGAATAGCCTAAGACTTTGGGGATGGTCTGTAGATATACATATGTGTATGCACACATATGTGTGCATATTACATTTGTATACACATCTATTATATACACATAGGTATATATGTGTGTGTGTGTTAGTTATCACTGTTACTGCCTGTGTGACCTGGGACCTCAGTTTTCTTCTATATAAAATGATGGGATTCTAGCTCTAAATCCTGAGATCTTGCTAATTAACTCAAAAACTTCATTGTTTGGGGGGATGGGGAGAGGACTAGGAATTCTGTCAAGAAGGTCTTAGATCTCTGATTGGGGTGTGTGTGTGTGTGTGTGTGTGTGTGTCCCGGGTGGGGGAAGAAGCAGTAGACCTCCTGGTAGACCTCCCCCCATTGTCCATGTGTTGCTGCCACCCCCCGCCCCCACCCTGGTCTCAGACATAGGGGCATGATGGATTTAGACTATATCAAATTGTTTGGATTGGGCTCCTGGGAAAGCCTGGGGAGCAGAGTGAAAGGACCCAAATGAGTCTCTTGAGAGACATCCCTCCCTGCCCTCATCCTTGCCCTCCAGACCTATCTTTCCCACCCCGTCTCCAATGACTATCTTCCTTTTCTCCACAGCTGCGCCTGAGCGGGGGCCGCAACCCTTACGAGGGACGTGTAGAGGTGCTGGTGGAGCGAAACGGGACATTGAAGTGGGGGACCGTATGCGGGGAGAACTGGGGCGTCGTGGAAGCCATGGTGGTCTGCCGACAGCTGGGTCTTGGGTTTGCCAGTAATGCCTTCCAGGTAGGAACCAGTCCTTTCCCTGGAGTCCCAGACCTCTCCGTCTGTCTAAATCCTGCCCAACTCTTCTAGGTCTATTTCAAGGTCCATCTCTTTTCCTTGAGAAGCAAGTTTGGGGTCAATGGACCAGCGTTTGAATCCCAGCTCTGTCCCTTACTATCTGTGGGACCTTGGGCAAATCCTCTCTGGACCTCAGGTTCTTCATCTGTAATTTAGCCTCTGAGGTCCTTTCCGCCTCTGCATCTCTAGTCTTATAACTATGATCCTAGACTCTTGTCAAACAAGAGGCCATCGAGGACACATCCCAGTCTGATGAACTTTTCCAAGCTCTGGATTCCCAGGTGCCCCCTTCCCCACCCCCGGCTTTTCCTGGGAATGGAGTAAATAGAGACTCGAGGGCGATTCTGAGGGAGGAGGGGCTCTGGGTTTGGTGATTTTGCCAAGGCTAAGCTGGGGGATGAGGTTGGGTGGGGAGCAGCTGGAGGGTGTCCCGCCTCCACGAAGCCCTGGCCCTCCCACCTCTAGTTCACTATTCCCGTGCTGCAGGGGTGCGGTGATAAGGCCAACTAGCTCTGAGGCCGCTTGGAACAGCTGTTCCAGATGCAACGTGGCATCTTGGTTAATACTGTTTACAGCTGGCCCCAGCAGGCGGGATGCGGGGGAGAGCAGGAGCTGCCGTCAGGCTGGATCTCCCAGGGCAACAGAAAAACAGCCAGACATGTTGGTCCAGCCCCTGTCAAGCGCGGTGTGCCCCGTCTCAGGAGGCCAAGGTCACCTGAGCCATGATCTCGCTTACAAGGGCACAGTGGCTAGCATGGCCAGTGAGGAGACGCAAAGCTGGCTGGGCCCCATCGCACTCCAGCCTCGATGCTGGACACTGAGAGTGCAGCAGGGGAAAGATCACTGGCCTAGAAATCGGCAGCCCTGGGGACCTGACACTCACTCACAGGGAGTGCCCCTGCTGGGGGAGTCTTGGCAGCATCTCTGAGCCTATAAAATGGGAATAATGAAAGTGGTCCTGGCTGCAGCATAGGGTCAAGTGAGGACAGATCACTTTGTGAACCTTATTATTGTTGCTCGGTCACTTTCAGAAAACCCCATTTGGGGTTTTTATGGCAAAGATACCGGAGGAGTTTGCCATTTCCTTCTCCAGATCATTTTTCAGATGAGGAAATTGAGTCAAATTAGGGTTAAGTGACTTGCCCAGGGTCACATGCCTATTAAGTGTCTGAGGCCGGATTTGAACTCAGGAAAATGAGTCTTCCTGCCTCCAGGTATGGTGCACTATCCATTGCACCACCACTTAGCTCCCCTTATGTGAACCTTATGGTGATGAGCAAATGGGAGCTCAATACTATTATTATACTATTATAATATAGAATATATACTACATATAATATTTACTATATTATTACATTATACTGTCATTGAGCAAGTATTTATTAAGCACCTTCTGTGTGCCAAGCTCTGTGCTAAGTGCTGGGGACACAAGATAGAAACAATCCCTGTTATCGAGAAGTTCCCATTCTAATGGGGAAAGAACATTAACAAAAAAAAAAAAAGACATGTGTATGCATGATACATTCAAAGTAGATGCACAGTTACCTCGAATGGAGAAGACAAAGCATCTGTTCTGCCTCACCGCCTCCACCTCTCCCCTCCTGTCACTTTCCCCCACTCTGCAAAGGAGAAGGAATATTTCCTATTCGTGAATTCCCGGGTGAGAATGTGCTCATTCTCATGGGCGGCCAGTGCTCCCTCTGAGAGTCAGTTCTGGGCTGGGAGTCTCTGCTCAGCCCCAGCCTCAAGAGGGAACCGGACGTCCGGCGTGACCATGAATGGCAAACTGCTTTTCACTAGCTGTGTGGCTTTGGACCAGTCACCCTCTCTGAGACTCAGTTTCTTCTTTTGTAAAAGGAGGGAGTTGGGCTAAGTGACCTCTGAGGTTTCTTCCAACTCTAGAGGGGTAACGAGGGATAGGAGATGGGGGACAGGGACTGAACCTCTGGTATCATTGCTCTGGAGGACTCCCAGGTAAGGAACCGTCCTTCACCAGTGCAGATCACCACCTGCTCTACAATTTAGACTATTAGAGAGTTTCCTGGGAAGTTAAGTGAGTTGTCCAGGACGATGCAGCCAGAATGTGTCAGTGGTGAGGCTCACACCCAGATCATTCTGACTCCAGCAGGGCTCTCTCACCACCACAGAATGCTGCCCATGTCACGGCTTGCCTATCGTGGGTGTAGTTTTCGCCTTATGCCTTTGCCCGGGCTTTCGCTGGCACGTGGAAGGTGCTCCTCCTACTCACCTTCACCTCTAGAATGCCTGGTCTCCTTTGAAGCTCAGCTGAGATGCCTCCTCCTATAGGAAGCCTTCCTGGATGCCCTTAGTTATTAGCACTTCTTCCCTCCTCATTCGTTCTTTTTCTTTCCTTTTTTTTTTTTTTTTTGGTTTAGACCAGTGATGTCATTCATACGGAAAACTGTCAGTGAGAAAATTTCCTCTGCCAGTGCAGACCAGCACCTTCTTGAGCTGCTAGCCTTAGAGAGTTGTTTCCTGGGGGTACTGAGAGAGTAGGTGATTTGTCCAGGGTCACACAACCAGTGAATGTCCAAGGCAAGGCTTGAACCAAGGCCTTCCCGACCTGTGGCTAACTGTGCCCACTATGCCATTCTGCCTCATGTTACCATAACATAGCCTTAGGATCATAGAATCAAAGAATCTGGAGTTGGAAGGGAACTCAGAGGCCATGGGGTCCAACCCCCTCATTTTACAATGGAGGAAACTGAGGCCCAGGGAAGTTAGGTGACTTACCCGAGGTCACGTGGGTAAGTAACCATCGGAAGTGGGATTTGAACCTGGGTCCTGTGACCCCTGAGCCAGGGTCCTCCCTCTACCACACAACAAACAGCATGAAAACTTCTTGAAGACAGGCATGATTTCACTTTTGTCTTTGTAGTCTCAGCTCCTAATGCAGTGCCTGGCACAGATCAGCACTTATCGGTTGGACTGGCCTCATTTTCCGCCCTCCATCAGCAGGCTGCCAAGAAGCTCACATGTGAGGGCAGCTAGCAACGACAGGTCACCCTACAGGGCAGAGTGGTCAGTACATTGTTCTTCCCTTTCTTCTTTGGCCTAGGAGACCTGGTACTGGCAAGGGGACATCAACACCAACACCGTGGTCATGAGCGGGGTCAAGTGCTCGGGGACCGAGATGGCGCTGTCACACTGCCGCCATCATGGAAAGAACGTGGCTTGCCCCCAAGGCAGGCATCACGCCGCCGGTGTCGCCTGCTCCGAAAGTGAGTGGCTCTTAGCGCCTGTCCCTTCCCACCCTGCAGGGGAGCTGAAGCAAAACTTGGGTTCTGGGGGGGTGGGGTGGGGTGGGGTGGTTCTTACTATGTCCTTGCTCTTTGTCCTAACAGAGTGTAAGCACCTGGAGGACAGGAGCTATTTCCCTTTTGTTTTTGCATTCCTAGCACCTAGTACAGTGCCTGACACTCATACTAAGGGCTTAATAAGCAAATGCTTGTTGAATTGAATTAAATGACCATGCAGCAAGGGAAAATAGGAGAGGCAGCAGGACACAGTGGAAAGAGCACTGGATTTGAATTGGGGACCTGGGTTCAAATTTTGCCTCTCCTACTTACTACCTGTGTAACCTCAGGTCACTTGCTCCTCTCTGCAACTCAGTTTCTTCTTTCATAAAAAACGAGAAGGTTGGACTAGATTATCCCTAAGGAGCCTTCCATCTCTAAATTCTGTGATCCTGTGACCTCCATACCCAACTGGAAGAGAGAGAGAGAGAGGTCAGTCAGAAAATCTAACTCTAGTCAAAAGAAAGGAATTTCAGGGTAAGAAAGCACTTCCACAGATCATTAAGGCATTACCAAGTGAATCAACTAATTCCTGATAGCTGACTCCCATAGCATCCTCCTCCTCCTTCTTTTCCTCTTCCTCTTCCTCTTTATCACCATCATCATCACCATCACCATCATCATCAGTGCCAACACCGCTATCATCACCACCATCACCACTACCATCATCACCTCCGCCACCACCACCATCATCTCTACCACCATCATCACCACCACCACCACCACCATCATCTCTACCACCATCATCACCACCACCACCATCAACACCATCATCATCACCACCACCATCATCACCACCACCACCATTTTCACCATCATCGTCATCATTTCAGGGAGCTTTATATTGTGTTCTTTTGTCACAGACATTATTTGAACCTGTTGACAACCCTGTGAGGCAGGTGCCTCAGATAGCCCTATGCCCATTTTATAGCTGAGGAAACTGAGGCCCAGAAGAGAGGTGGAGTGACCTGCCCAACATTACACAAAGAGCCCTGCAGAAGCAGGCATTAAACCCAGATCTTTTGCTTCTAAGTTCAGGCAATTTCCATTGAGCCACACTACCTCTCAAGCCCTTTCCCGTTTGCTATTCTTTACTCATTTACAAAGCATTTCCATATCCGTTCTGCTTTGATCTGCCTGTAAGTAGCAGTGGTAGATTTTGACCCCAGGCCTCCAGACTCCTAAGCTAGCACTCTCTCTGCTCCACCAAGGAGATTAAACATGTCTATTGGTTGGCTCTAATTGTGCTTCATCGTTTCCGTTCCTCCTCATACCCTGGGGCCGTGTTACCCCCTCTGCCTTCCTGGCTCCCGGCAGCTGCCCCTGACCTGGTCCTCAATGCCGAGATCGTCCAGCAGACGACATACCTGGAAGACCGGCCCATGTTTATGCTGCAGTGCGCCATGGAGGAGAACTGCCTGGCGTCCTCTGCTGCCCAGACCTCACCCACCACGGGCTACCGCCGGCTCCTGCGATTCTCCTCCCAGATCCACAACAACGGCCAGTCGGACTTCCGTCCCAAGAACGGCCGCCACGCGTGGATCTGGCACGACTGCCACAGGCAAGTGTCCGCCGCCCCCCCATTATCCCACCCCATCTGGGGTTCCAACCTGGGAGGGTCTCCAAGGCTTCCTTCCTTGGGCTTCGTGAAGCGAGCACTCGTCCTAACTCACCTGTCCTCCGGGTCTGTCTGGACGTGGTATAATAACAACAACAATAATAATAACATGTAATAGCTATAACCATAATGATTATCATTACATATGATAATGATAAGGATATAATAGTTATAATTATTGTTGTGATATGTAATGATGATAAGTTATAATTATGATGATGATACATAATGATGGTGTAATAGTTATAATAATATGATATCTAATAATAATGATAAAATAGGTATGATAATTATTGATATATAATAATGATGATGATGTTGTAATAGTTATAACAATATTATATATAATTAGAAATCATAATTATTATGATAAAATAGTGATGACTGTAATAGCAATAACACCAATAACGACAATGATGATAGCTAACATTTGTATAGTGCGCACCATGTGCCAGGCACTATACTAAGTGCTTTTTACAAATATTATCTCATTTGATCCGCACAACAACTCTGGGAGTGAGGTGCTGTTATTTTTCCCATTTTGCAGTTAGGGAAACAGGTAGGTGGAGGCTGTGACATGCCCAAGGTCGCACATCTAGTAAGTGGAGCCAGACAGACCTGAGTTTGAGCGCTACCCCAGACTCACACTGGCTGGATGACCCTGGGCAAATCACTAAAGCTCTCGGTGCTCAGAATGACTCTCTAAGGGTCTAGTTTGCAGGGAAGGTGTCGACTATCTCTGCCTGACTGGCACAGGGAGGGGGTCGGCACTGGGTTATGTGGGAAGAACACTGGACTTCAAATGAAGCAGCCTGGGTTCAAGTCCAGATCCTAGGACAGAGATGGAGCCAGGGCCCTAAGATGACCTACCCTAAGCCCTTCATTTATAGCTATGGCAATGCAGGCCCCAGGAGGTGAAGGGATCTGTGCCCGGTCACATGAGAGGGGAAGTCTCAGAGCAAACTCAGGCTGTCTGACACCAGGCCCATGGCTCTTTCCAGTTTATCGCCTTCTCACCTCCCTTCTCTGAGCCTCAGTTTCTTCATCCGTTCAACGGAGGGGGTAGTATTTGAATTTCCGGCCTCGTAGGGCCTGCTCTGAGGAAGGCACTTTGCAGATGGAAAGGCCTTGAGAAATGAAATGGAAGCTTTTTTAAATTTTTGGTGTGACTTTATCAGTATGGGGAGGGGGGCACACTGAACCCTCTGGGGATGGTGCAGCCCCTTTTGTGGCCCTCCTGGACCCACGGTTGCTCTGTCTTCTTGCGCTATGCCATCTCTCTTCTCTGAGTGAATTTGCCCCCAGGGCTAGGATCCATTGTGCCAGCTAGGGTGTTGACCCCAGAAAGCTGTGATTTCCCTGCGTAGACCATTCCTTCCAGTTTGCAGGTCACGGCGATGAAAGAAGGGGCAGGATGTCACTGGAAGGTGAAGTTGGCTTTTAGAATGATTATCTGGATCTTGCTAGACCCAAGTCATCCCCAAACCTCCTGCCTCTGGGTCCTGTTGCCTTCAGGATAAGTGAGGAGCTCCCATATCTGATGCTTAAAACTGATTCCAGCCTTACGTTAGCTCCGCTCTCCAGGTTTGCGGCAGGTTATTCCTCTTCATACGTTCTGTGTTCCTTCCAAACTGATCTTTTCTGATCAAACAAGATAATATAGATGTCACTTTGCAAGGATTACATAAATATAAGTGTGATTAGTATTTTTCTTGTTAGCTGCTCCCAACACACAGCAGTCTGTACACCGTGTTCTCTGTGTCTTTGCACTGGATGTCCCCCAAGCCTGGAGTACTGTCCTTCCTCTGTTTGTTGTTGTGTTCAGTCATTCAGTTGTGTCCAACTCTTCATGACCCCGTGGACTAGAGCACACCAGGCCCTTCTTCTACCCTCCACTATCTCTTGAAGTCTGTCCAGGCTCATGTTGGTTGTTTCCCTGACACCATCTATCCATCTCATCCTCAGCCGTCCCCTTTTCCCTTCTGCCTTCAATCTTTCCCAACATCAGGGTCTTTTCCAAAGAGTCCTGTCTTGGGGCAGTTAGGTGGCGCAGTGGGTAGAGCACCAGCCCTGGATTCAGGAGGACCTGAGTTCAAATCCAGCCTCAGACGCATACCACTTACTAGCTATGTGGGGCAAGTCACTTAGCCCCATTGCCTAGCTCCCCCCCCAAGAAAAAATTAGACAAAGAGTCCTGTCTTCTCATTATGTAGCCAAAGTATTTAAGCTTCAGCTTCAGGATTTGACTTTCCAATAAATAATCTGAATTAATTTAAGTATTGACAGATTTGATCTCCTTGCTGTTCAAGAGAACAGCTCTTCTCCAGCACCATAATTTGGAAGCGTTGATTTTGTGGCACTCAGATTTCCTTATAGTCCGATTCTTACAGATATACATTGCTACTGAAAAAAAAACTATAGCTTTGACTTTATAGACCTTTGTCAACAAGGTGACGTTTCTGCTTTTTCATATGCTGTCCAGATTTTCCATAGCTTTCCTTCCAATGAGCAAGCATCTTGAAATTAATTTCATGACTGCAGTCACCATCTGCAGTGATCTTTGAGCGCAAGAATGTAAAATCTGACACTGCTTCCATTTCTTCTCTCTCCATTTGCCAGGAAGTGCTGAGACCAGTTGCCAAGATCTTAGTTTTTTTGATGTTAAGCTTCAAGCCAGCTCTTACACTCTCCTCTTTCACCCTCATCAAGAGGCTTCTTAACTCTTCTTCGCTTTCTACCATTAGACTGGAATCATCTGCCTAGCTGAGATTGTTGATATTTCTCCCGGCAACCTTAATTTCAGTTTTTGATTAATCTCGCCTGGCATTTTACATGATGTACTCTGCATATAAGTTAAATAAATAAGGTGACAATATACAGTCTGGTCATGCTCCTTTTCCAATCCTAAACCAATCAATTGTTCCATGTTTGTTTCTAACTGTTGCTTCTTGACCTGCATATAGGCTCCTCCGGAGACAAGTAAGATGACAAGTAAATACTCCCATCTCTTTGAGGACTTGCCACATTTTGTTATGATCCACACAGTCAAAGACTTTAGGGCAGTCAATGAAGCAGAAGTTGATATTTTTTTCTGGAACTCTCTTGCTTTCTCCATAATCCAACAAATGTTGGCAATTTGGTCTCTACTTCCTCTGCCTCTTTGAAAACCAGCCTGCTCTTCTGGGAATTCTTGGTTCCCATATTGCTAAAGCGTAAACTTGCTGCTGTGTGAGACGAGCACAATTGTTTCATAATTTGAACATTCCTTGGCATTGCCATTCTTTAGGACTGGGATGTGGACTGATCTTTTCCAATCCAGTGGCTACAGTTGAGTTCCAGATTTGCTGGCATGTTGAGTGCAGCAAGTTAACAGCATCATCTTTTAGGGTTTTAAATAGCTCAACTGAAATTCTGTCATCTCTTCACTAGCTTCATCATTAGCAAGGCTTCTTAAGGCCCACTCAACTTCATTCTCCAGGATGTCTGGCTCTAGATCAATTAACCACATGATATGGTTATCAGTGCTGTTAAGATCTTTCTCTTATAGTTCTTCTGTTTATTCTTGCCACCTCTTCTTAGTCTCTTCTGCTGCTCTTAAGTTCCTACCATTTTTGTCTTTTTACTGTGCCTTTTTTTTGCATGAAATATTCCCTTGATATCTCTAATTTTCTTGAAGAGATCTCTTGTCTTTCCTATTCTATTTTTCCTTCTATTTCTTTGCATTGCTCATTCCCATCCAGTTCGGTCCACTGACACACACGACGTTGACATTTAATCTTTCCACCCCCTGTTTGACCACATCCAGCTCTCCTTGGTTCATCGATCTGACATTTCAGGTTCCTACGCAACGTGATCTTTACAGCATCGGATTTTCCTTTTGTCACCAGAAGCATCTGCAGCTCAGCTTCCTTTTAGCTTTGACCCAGCTGCTTCATTCTTTCTGGAGCTTCTTGGGGTTGTCCTCCATTCTTCTCTTGTAGTGTATTGGACACCTTCCAACCTGAGGGGCTCAGCTCCTGATGTCATCTCTTTTATCATTTTTGTACTGTTGATGGGGTTTTCTTGGCAAAGATGGTGAATTGCTTTGCCGTTTCCTTTTCCAGTGGATCACCTTTTGTCAGAACTCTCTACTATGACCTGTCTGCCTTGGGTGACCCTGACAATGGCTCCTGGTTTCATTGAGCTACAAGCCCTTCCACCAAAACAAGGCAGTGATCTGGGGCAGGGGGGTTTCCCTCCTCACGAGAATCCCTCATTTCCTTCAAATGCCACCTCTGATGTGAGTCTCTCCCTCATCCTTCCAGTTTTTGTTTACCTTCTTGCTCTGAAATTACTTCCATTTATTTTGTGTGTATTTTGAATTTACATATCTTTGTACCTGTTATTTCTCACTCCCCTCACTGCCAACAGAATGAAAGCTCCCTGAAGGCAGGGACTGCTTCTCCCTAGACTCCATGCCTAGGACAGTGCCTGGCACATGGTGTCAGAATGTAGGCTTCCTAAGGGCAGGGGTTGTTTCATTTTTGCCTTTGTACCCCCATTGCCTGGTACAGCGGTTGGCATAGAGTTGAATGAATTCATCAGGTTTCCTCTAGTGAATGATATTAGCAACATGAAGACATTGGTTCCTGATGGATTTCATTTTTAAAAACCATATGGATTGCCAGGGACAAACCCACAGACATCTTAATGCTGAATCTGCCCCTGCATATGTAAGTAGAGTCTAATTATCATCTATGCCATCCATATGGAAACACACCCAGAGATTACATGGTAGGAGTCTATATGGGACATATATTTACACCCACAAGGAATGCTCCCTCTTCTAAGAATAGGCCCATGGAGATGTCATTTCTTCTGATCTCTAGCCCCAAAGCTGTTGTCCTCCTTTTTCCACATGGTCTAGTTTATTTGAAGTTTCCAAGTGGCCAAGGGGGTATCTT